ACCTTCCGTCAACAACTCAAGCCTTTTTCAACCATTTCAGGATATTCAATCTCCAGCATACAAGTTCTACTCTTAATCTTCAGCTATTGCTTAAGATACTTCAGCATTGCTTCAGCAGTTGCTTCAGCTTCTTCAGTGTTTGCTTCAGCTACTTCAGCATTGCTTCAGCATTCTCAGCATTCATTCAGCATAGGATTCACACGCATTTTCAGCGTCAAAACGATGGGAGTCCCCTCCACCTCTCCCATTAACTGATTTCCCCAAAAATGCAGAAGTGACATTTTTCTGTAATTCACTCCACATTTTTGGCTCTAGGAACACCAAAACCAGATATGCTGTGCATGAAGGTCATGTGCTGATCATGGTCTGCTCATGGTTCTGATAGGAGTTATCGTTTTTTCACAAATAGCAGTTGTTTGAAAGGCTCACCAAGCCAAAATCCCACTCAGATCTGTGTCGGTTCTGTATCTTCCAGCTAGACACAGGTGTTCGAACCAGCTCATTAAGAGGCTCTTTGATCTCTGTGATGTTTACAAACACAGCCACACACACACACACACACACACAGACACAGACACAGACACAGACACAGACACAGACACACACACACACACACACACACACACACACACACACACCTTATTACTCACAAGTATGAGAGTATGTATGTGTGTGTTCATGTTGTCGCATGTTCATCTGTGCCTTCCAGCTGCACACAGGTGAATTCTCATTAACAGCCTGATTGATGTATATGAGGTTTACAGCCAGAACCACGCAGCCAGACCAACACACACACACACACTCAGACATGCAGAAAGTTGTTTATGAATTAGTACTCCTAGAGAGAGATAATAGTTCAGACTGGACAGTACAACAATAAATACAGCAGCAGACATATAATTGAGATCGTCCTTTTACTTTCCTTCAGGCGTTAATTACTCCCACATACTTTGAGGTACTGGAACCGTTCAACCATCATAGCAATTCTTCTATAGACTGCTATACAAATTCAGAAGCTAACATACAACCATAGAGATAAGAACCATTGTCTCAGCAGGTGGTAGTAACTCAGTATCTGGGCAGAAATGAATAAAGCTGATTCTTATTGGCTAATTAGACTAATTAAGTCTTACCCTTATTACTCTCAAGTACGAGAGCATGTATAAGACAAATCACCCCCCCCACACACACACACACACACACTCTCTCTAGGCAGTCCACTGCACTTGCAATCATAGAGTGTATATAAAATGTTTGCTGCAGTAAGAGAGAGAGAGAGATAAAGGACCTCAATTCTCTATATTTAACTAGTCAAAAGTCAAAATTACACCCCACAAATAATAAAAAAACACTAACAAAAGAAACCCAAAATAATGGATAAATAATATTACATACATATGTACACAAATATTTACATAAAGTCCAACCTTGCCCCTAAGACGTGAGAGAAGCAGCCTCTCTAAAAACAGGAACAGAAAGTGCAGCCTGGTGCAGTCCAGGAAACAATGTAACACAGTTTCTCTGAGGGAACAGAATGGACACCTTTCATCAACGTTTGGATTTAAAATAGACACAAAAACATTGACAGCCACAGCCCCATGTAAAACCCTCCACTGTAAGTCTCCAACCCTTCTAGTTAATGGTGGAATAATCATGTCATCGACATACAGACAATTTAAAAACTGAACTAGAATTTGGAATTCTAAAAACAATGAGACATGTTCTTAGTTTCTGGAGGAGAGGCTCTATTTCAAGGGAGTACAGCATGCCTGAAAGAGGGCAGCCCTCCCTCACATCCCTCTGCACTTTAAAAGAGGTACTCAAACCACCGTTAAATTTTAAGTACACTCAATGTCTCCATACAAGGCCTGAATCTTAGCAATAAGACGTGAGCTGAACCCAAAACCCTCCAGCGTCTGCCAGAGATATGCATGTTCAGGCCGATTAAATGCTTTTTCTTGGTCTATGGAAATAAGACCAAGTTCCATTCCCAATGACCTGAGAGGTCCAAAGCATCACGGATTAAATGTACATTGTCTGTTATCAGCCTGCCTGGTAGGTCTGGTCCACATGAACGACCTGCTCCATCACTTTTCTAAGTCTGTTGGCTGAGAACTTGGAGAGGAGTTTGTAGTCGGAACTGCAGAGGGCCACTGGTCACCAGATTTTTAGGTTCTGCAGGTCCCCTTTTTTTGGCAGGAGGGTAAATAGTAAATGGACATGCACTTATATAGCACTTTTCTAGTCTTACTGACCACTCAAAGCGCTTTACAATACTTGCCACATTCACCCATTCACTCACACATCCATAAATCACACTCATACACTGATGGAACAGCCATCAGGGGCAATGTAGGGTTCAGTTTCTTGCCCAAGGACACTTCAACATGCAGCCTGGAGGAGCCAGGGATCAAACCACCGATCTTGTAATTAGTGGACGACCCGCTCTACCTCCTGAGCCACAGCCGCCTATAGGCAGGAGGGCGAGGACCTGTAACTCAGGGGCAACCAGCCTTTCAACAGACTGTCCCTAAGAACACACAGTAGGTCCTCACTCATCACTGACCAGAAGGCTTTGTAAAAATCTGCTGGCAGACCATCTAGACCTGGAGCCTTCCCAGGTTCTAGGCTCTGCAGCGCCTCCAACAGTTCCTGAGGGGAGATGTCAGCCTCCAGCTGCTTGTTAGCATCTACTGACACCTTTGGCAGACCAGTGAGGAAGGATGACAGCGTTTCTGGTTTCTCAGTATATTCAGTTTGAAATAAATACTCATAGAAACCTGCTGCACACCTGTGGATCTTGCAGATTCCTGCAGCAGCTGCCCATCACCGGAGCGCAGAGAGTGCACTAACCTCCTCTGTCCATTTTTCCTCTCCAGCCCAAAAAGAAAGTGAGAGGGAGCATCCATTAGAGCAACATTTTGAAACCTACTGCTTACCACAGCGCCCCTGGTGGGCATGCCCAGAGTGTCAGCTAACACATGTTTTTTTTCATTTGAGGAATTCAATATGTCCTCTTTCTCCTGTGGAGTCTGCTAAAACTTGTAGCTCCACCACCTCTCTCTCCAGATCTCAGAGAGATCTGACCAAGTCCCTGGAGACATTGTGAGTGTACTGCAGGCACAGAGTCTTGATCTGGCTTTTTCCAATGTCCCACGACTGCTGCAAAGAACTAAAATCTGACTTTGTCTGAAATTATATAATATATGAGATAATGTAGTGGCAACTGTAGTGCTCATACTGATAAAAATAGTAATGACAGCTAATAACATTAATAATAATCATTATTAATTATAGTAAATTTTAGCAGGTTTAGCAGCAAGTGTTAAACAGGATCATGGGGGCAGTAGGTGGTTTGCAGTTGCAGGTCCAGACTCGACAGCTCTGGAGGCGGGAGGACCTGTGGAGAGTAACAGGAAGCAGGTAGAGAAGGGAAATGGAGAGAGAGCTGCTATTTCTACTATTTTAGCATTGTGTTAGTAATCTCCTTCAGGTATGCCATTGCAAGTTTTAATTGTACATTTCTTCTTTCTTTGGTTATTATTTTAAACCAATTTAGGCCATTCAGCTTTCAACTAACCTGTTTTTTAGATTCTGTATATTTTGTACAGTTTTGTGCTGTTTGTTACACCTTACATCAACATTCAGGCCTTTTTCAACCATTTCAGGAAATTCAACCTCCACCTTAAAAGTTCTGCTTTTACGCTTCAGCTGTTGCTTCAGCTACTTCAGCATTGTTTCAGCAGTTGCTTCAGCTCCTCAGCAGTTGGTTCACCCTACACACACAGAAAAACACAAACTCCATCTCCATGATTTGGATTTACCTTCAAAATAAAAGTCTCAACATGGTAAGAGGGAATTATTGGCTCTGTTGTACAAAACGTTATGCAATTTATATTGCTAAACACAGAAGCTCAGACACTTTCAAAATAAGAGTTTCAAAAAGGTAAGAGGTAAGGTAGGTCATAAAAGTGTGTGTATACATGTCTTGCTATGGTTGTGGGGACAAATTTGGGTTTGAAACCATCAGTGTGAGGTTATTTTGGCCAGTCGTTACAGCTTCAAATGGCTTTTTGAGGGACACCTGCAGTGACTGAGGTCAGTATCAGAATAAGTCCCTATGACATGAATGAAACTGAAAGTAACATCTTTTGTACAGATTGAAACGTGGGGAGTGAAATACACGCACCAAGCAGCAGGCAAATTCAAAATTTCTCCAGGAATTGTCTAGTTTGTATTTTCTCATCCATGATATGACACAAAAAATATGATAATATGACCATATATTATCAAATAAACATATAGATAAAATAATTTAGGCTTAACAGTGATTAAATAATTTATAATTACAGTTTGGATCCTGTTTGTTTGCAGTGAGGGAGGGGCTTACTAACAGACGGGTTCCCCTCAATATTTCAGAAGGAGCCTCAGATATAATCAGGGTGAGGGCACGACAGCCTGGCCATCTGTCACACCACCTCATCCTAATAATATATCCCCTTATAGGTCACTTATCGCAACATCACTCTCCATATAGGGATATATATGTCTATATCATATATCTATATATTACATTTCTGTGTGGGATAAAGTGTTAAAAGTATATTATTATTATTATTATTATTATTATTATTACACTTATCTGCTTTCGCCAGCATTTAGCAAAGTAAATAATTGTAAATAACATTTAAATCACTTTGTTTAAGTAAGAAATACACAAAATGAGATTTGTATGTTACAGTCAAACCTAAAGGCTTTGTGCACTGTTGAATGTGGGAGGGTGGGGTGGGGGTGGGAGGGTGGGGGGGAGTTTATCGTCCTGAGTACTACTCTCCTAATCCGGTTTTAGAGGAGAGAGGCTTAGTGGAGCCTCAGGTTGAGCACAGATATTAGCTCTCAGAGGACAGAGAGAGAGACCAGGACCTCCTGTTAGACCACACAGTGATTCTTTCTTTCCTCATCTGAAATCTCTCTCTCTCGCGCGCTCTCTCTCTCTCTCTCTCTCTCTATCTTTCTCTATCTCTCATCAGATCTGCAGGATTAATTGGAGAAGTTGCTTATTTCCACGGGGCTAATTTGGAGGCCATCTTACACCTACAGAGTGTTGCTGTGTGACACCTGTGATCTACCTGTTTATCTACACTTCCATCTGAAGCAGCAGCTTCTCCTCAGGATGAAGGACCGACTGGCACAGCTGAAGGAGGTAGGCTAGGCTGGGCTGGGCTCTGTCACGTTTCCCCTGTGGGACAGGCCCTGGTCCTTCTGTCCCTTTACTGGAGACTCTGTCCACTGTGTCTGTGTCAGTGTATTAAATTTATATTATATAATATATATTTATATATATTTCAAATATAAGGAGCAGAGTGGACACCCTGTGAATGTAAATATGACCTTATTCTCGGAAAATAATTATAATTAATATTAACAGATGTAAGACTAAGTAGCTAAATAAGATGCAGTGAGCTTGAGGTGTGCAGAGCGGCCTCATGTGACAGCAGCACACACTCGGAGTGGGCCATACCACAAAACTTCTTTTCTATCTGACACCAAGTAATACTGGGCCAGAATCTCCGATATTGATACCGATACATTTTATTTTGAAAAGCGTGTTATGTATTTTCATGTAGGGAGAGCAGTGTCATGATTTATGAGGTATATGCATCATCAATATGTTAAATCTTAACACATTTTAATGAGCACTGAATGATTTGCCAAAGGTTATCAATCATTTTAAGAAAGGTTGAATTTATACCTGCTACCTGTGAGACGTGGCTTTGAAGTGGCTTTATTAGTCTTGTTTCATGCACCATTAACCTTTTTAACAGTTTGGACAGTTTTGCCTTTTCTTGATGCAGTAGTGACAGTGACAGAGAGACAGAAGGGCTCAGAGAGAGAGAGGGGATGTCCTGCAGAAAATGGCATGAGCTGGATTTGAATCCGTACCACTGTGCTAAGGACTGAACTTAAATGTTGTGCGCCCCATCAGGTGAACCACCAATGTACTACATTAGCTGCAGGAACCAGGGTATAAATTTAGTTCCGGGGTAATTGTTCAACCCCCTAAAAAGTCCCTGGTCGGGGGGTAGTACTTTGTTGGCCTGTCCCTGGCTGGAGCTGTCCCAGGAAATGTCCCCATGTAGCTGCTATAGCTGCTAGCTATAGCTGCTAGCTATAGCAGCTTTAGAAGTGAAGCTGAAACCATCAAAATAGTCTTATCCAATAAGTTTTTTCTTTTTTGTTGTTGTCTCTAGGCAGATAAAAGGTTACCTGGCTTACACATTGGTTAATAACCAGGCAGTAAACTAACAAAAAATAGTTTTGATGTTGGAAGAAGCTAAGAACAAGAAGTTGTCTGACTGTCTGCGATGGACTTCACACAACAATATTCACAACCTTTTATGAAAAATGCTTTTGATTCTTTTGATCTGTGGACACTTACAAACTAAAGGAATATGAATAATATAATGGAGGAATAGATAGATAATTGGCCTTCATGACTGCTTCAAAGGTGGGAAATCATCATTATACAGTCAGCCTTCACAATAGTTTATTAAGGTACTTGGCTGCAAAGCTTCCGTAAACTCATCCTGAGTTTGGAAACTTTCTCAACAACAACAGTTACCATGGTCATGATACATGGGAATAAAACATTGGCATTTTTAATGATACATTGATGTCAAACTGGAAATGTTTTCATGTTGCCTGATTCTTACTGTGTCATTTAAACTATTTAAATAATAATTATTGAGTTCCTCGTTAAAGACAATATGTTATACTGTTACATGAATTCACTACTGCACACTGTTGTAGTTTCCCCTCCTCACATGACAACAGAAACCCTTTGTACCTATGCACTTGACAAAGGTGGGTTTATTTTCCACTCAAGACCTGACATGTCCTGACATGTGACATATATGACAACACTGCTTGATATATGGACATATACTGTGTGTCACATATTACATTTTTGTGTGGGCTGTTATGAGCTTCTGCAGTGTATGCTGGGAGCAAATGGCATAGAAAGAAGAGCAAGAGAATAGAAACAATGGACCCATTCCTCGACTTGTCTTTAGTCCAAATCACATAGTAGAAGACATGATAATAAATCCTTGACTGTGGTTGTAGCTTACCTGCAGAGGGCTCAACACCTGTCTCAACTCAACACCTGTCGTCTATATTGTATTTTGTTTGTTAACATGTAAAAGGGTTAGGGTTAGGGTTAGGGTTATATCACACAGGAAGAGAGAAATACTTGAGTATCATTTCTTTCTCCTCTAAAACACACAGCTGTTGTGCCATTGTTCTGATTCATACAGTTCGATTAGACTGTAATTCACAGGCTGTGGCGATGAAGTTTTATCAAATGTTCCCTCGCTGTTGGGGAGACCAGGGATGATTGTAAGATCTTTGACATTTCTGCCTGTTTTTTTAAAACCAGTGCATTCAAAACGTAACACATGTCTACTGTTAAATGGTGGAGGTGTTATCTCTGCAACAAAACACAACATGTCTGGTTCAGTCTCTTGTAGTTAGTGTAAAATATGAAAGGTAACATCATGATATAAAGATTATGACATTGATATTGAAAGATTTTTATTTATTCAACTCTTCAATGACTTTGTGTGTGTGTGTGTGTGTGTGTGTGTGTGTGTGTGTGTGTGTGTGTGTGTGTGTGTGTGTGTGTGTGTGTGTGTGCGTGTGTCCGTGTATGTGTGTATCGTTGTTACAACAAACCCAGACTCTTATAGCCATGAACTAATTTACCTTAAGGCTAACAGCTACATTACATACATTACATGTTTTGCATTACATACAAAACATTAGTACTGACAACGTGCATGAAAGAGATCTACATAGACTCACAATAAAAATGATTTAGGTTTAAAGAAGTTTGAAGAACTACAAATCAGGCAGTGCTATTACAAAAAAAAAAATTTCATTAGTTTTTATTCTTCTTTGTCTGTGACAGTCAGAGTGGCAGCCATTTTGTTTTCAGGTTGTCTGTCTGTCTCGTGGCCACGATATATCTCAATAACACCTTGGTGGAACTTTTTCAAATTTTGCACAAACATTCACTAGGACTCAAGGATAAACTGATTAGGTTTTGGTGGTCAAAGGTCACAGGTCTGGTGACCTCAGAAAACGCGGTTTTGGCCTTGTGAATGCAGTATCTCAGTAATGCCTTGAGGGAATTTCTACAAATTTGGTAAAAACATTAATCTAGACTCAAGGACAAACTGAATTTGGTGGCTAAAGGTCAGAGTTCAAAAGTCAAGGTCACGGTGACCTCAGAAAACACTTTTTAGCCATTACTCAAGACTTTACATAAATATTATGACAAAATTTCACACAAATAGTTCATATATTATATGACTTTGGATAAACAGGGATGTAACCTGAAACTAGTCTGAGTGGCAGAGACAAACAACCACAAGGCTGTGAGTCTAGTTTCCTTCTAAAACTGTCTTTGTCTGTCACAGGCTGCTATTTCATCAGATGTGGAATGAAGACTAAATTTAGCAGGTATTGAGTAAATCTGCTGATTCAGAACTTGCTCCTGATTGGATAAATTGGAAGTGTTACAACTGACCCTGCTCTTCACTAAATAAGAAACTGGTCTTAATGTCTCATCTGGTAAAATAAAAGGTTCAATAGATTAAAAGAGATCATTGTATTTTTCTATATTGGAGCTACTGGAGTATATAAAATGATACTAAATGTGTGTGTGTGTGTGTGTGTGTGTGTGTGTGTGTGTGTGTGTGTGTGTGTGTTTTTGTGTGTGTGTGTGTGTATGTGTGTGTGTGTGTGTGTGTGTGTAACAGAAAAGTGATGCTGGAGGTGATGACATCGAGGTTCCTGTGGAGAACGAGGCTTTTATGGATGACTTCTTTGCTCAGGTATTCAGTCTGTGTCTATTCCTCACATGTCTACAGGTAAACATATTTTGTGATTGCTGATCTGTGTGTGTGTGTGTGTGTGTGTGTGTGTGTGTGTGTGTGTGTGTGTGTGTGTGTGTGTGTGTGTGTGTGTGTGTGTGTGTGTGTGTGCTTCTTTGTGTGCTCTAGATCGAAGATATTCGCATCAGCATTGACAAGATCGACGAGAGCGTCACAGAAATCAAAAAGCTCTACTCCACCATCTTGTCGGCGCCTACGTCTGACCAGAGTGACTGACACACACACACACACACCTTAATAATATTATGTCTTTATGTTGACTCTTGCTGTTAACACACATTCTCTCTCTCTTCCAGAAATACAAGATGATGTTGAAGCTCTCACCAATGAGATCAAGAAGTCGGCCAACAACGCCAGAAACAAACTCAAGAGTCAGTACCTGCTCTTTTTACTTTGTTTTCATGCTCACTTCCTGTTTGTTTGTTTGTTAGTTAGTTAAAAAAAATAGCCCAACACAGGAAATGCCACTCCCCTCCATTATGTTGTAGTGACAGATATCTGAAACCATCTGCAGTTAGATTCCACACAGATTCAATAGGGAAATATTTTATATATTATTTATATGTTTTTTTTTAATGATGATAACGGATGACAAAAGGCGTTGTGTAGTTGATGCTGCTTGGTGAGTGTCGAGCAGTGCTCCCTGGCCCATTACAATTAATATATATTTAATAATATGTAATGATATATGCACTGTATATTTGTCCAAAGTTATAATCCAGTGTAGTTTCTGTTGTTTTGTGTTGTGTTTACATGTTTCTGTGAATTTCTGGAAAAAAATAATCTGAACCTCATTATCTGTGTGTGTGTGTGTGTGTGTGTGTGTGTGTGTGTGTGTGTGTGTGCAGGTATTGAGCGCCAGCTTGAGTCAAACACAGACGAGAGGGCCTCAGCTGACCTCAGGATACGCAAGTCACAGGTCAGACCAAGCAACACCACAAAAAGTTTGTTTGAGCCGACCGGTTGAGTGTGTATAATTGGAGGTCAAAGGTCAAGAGGTCACACTGGTCTCTGGTGCCCTCTGTGAAAAAATGGGGTTTTAATCCATATTGTTTTTTGTTGTTTGGTGCTACTGGTCAGCACAGGTGTCAGTGATTGTTAACATGGTTATATTGGTCACAGGCCTGAGTTAGTCTGAGGGTAAGGTGGACAAAGTTTTATTCCTGAAAACGAATGAAGATGGCCGAAATACTTTTCTTTTTTAAATAAACTCTACAGTCCACACTCTGATGTGTTTTATGAGACTGTATGTTTTACAGTCAGTTTACACAGCTTCTGCATTTTCATTTTTCCCAGCATGCAATCCTCGCCAAGAAGTTTGTGGAGGTGATGACAAAGTACAACGAGGCTCAAGTCGACTTCAGAGACAAGAGCAAAGGACGAATCGCCCGACAGCTGGAGATCAGTGAGCTACAGCTGATTATTACACAGACAAACGAACAATACTTGGTTTTTATTTATACTTACCATGTTACTTTCACAGTCACATGGTGTCACAGACGGAGCCATCACTCCTAACTCTGACTGGTCCTGTACATCACATTTCTTTTTTGTTATTGTCATTAGAAATGATGTCTTATGTGTGCTATGATATGTTTATGATCACAACTGCAGCTTGTTGTTGTCAGATATAAAATTTTATATCTGTGTTTAGCAATGACCATCACTAACCACTTCTTACATATCACAGTCTGAACCACGTTAGTATTTATTTGTGATCGTCAGGTTTAAATAAGATTTTTTTTTAAATAGTGTTGCAGTGGCACCACACAGTTTTCGTTTTCGTTTCGTTGTCTCCCGCTTATCCGGATCCGGGTCGCGAGGGCAGCAGCCTCAGCAGAGAGGTCCAGACGGCCCTCTCCCCAGCCACTTCCACCAGCTCCTCCGGGAGAATCCCGAGGCGTTCCAAGGCCAGCCGAGAGATATAATCCCTCCAGCGTGTCCTTGGTCGACCTCGAGGTCTCCTCCCGGTGGGTCATGCCCGAAACACCTCCCCAGGGAGGCGTCCAGGAGGCATCCTCACCAGATGCCCAAACCACCTCAACTGGCTCCTCTCGACATGGAGGAGCAGCGACTCTACTCCGAGTCCCTCCCGGATGACCGAGCTCCTCACCCTATCTCTAAGGCTGAGCCCGGCCACCCTGCGGAGGAAACTCATTTCGGCCGCTTGTACTCGCGATCTCATTCTTTCAGTCATTACCCAAAGCTCATGACCATAGGTGAGGATCGGAACGTAGATCGACCGGAAAATTGAGAGCTTCGCCTTCTGGCTTAGCTCCCTCTTCCCCACAACGGACCGATTCAGCGTCCGCATCACTGCTGACGCCGCCCCAATCCGCCTGTCGATCTCCCGCTCCATCTTACCCCCACTCGTGAATAAGATCCCGAGATACTTAAACTCCTCCACCTGAGGCAGAGCCTCCCCCCAACCCGAAGCGGGCAATCCACCCGTTTCCGGCTGAGAACCATGGCCTCAGACTTGGAGGTGCTGATTTTCATCCCAGCCGTTTCACACTCGGCCGCGAACCGCCCAAGCGAGAGCTGAAGGTCGGCGTTCGATGAAGCTAGGAGGACCACATCATCCGCAAAAAGCAGAGACGAGATCCTCCCGCCACCGAAACCAAACCCGTCCACCACCCGGCTGCGCCTAGAAATTCTGTCCATAAAAGTTATGAACAGAACCGGTGACAAAGGGCAGCCCTGGCGGAGTCCAACCCTCACCGGGAACAGGTCCGACTTACTGCCGGCTACGCGAACCAGACTCACACTCCTTTGGTACAGGGATTTAATGGCCACTAACAAGGGGCCATCCACCCCATACTCCCGGAGTGCCCCCCACAGGGAGCCCCTGGGAACACGGTCGTAAGCCTTCTCCAAATCCACAAAACACATGTGGACTGGATTGGCAAACTCCCATGCTCCCTCCAGCACCCTAGCGAGGGTAAAGAGCTGGTCCACAGTTCCACGCCCAGGACGAAAACCACATTGCTCCTCCTCGATCTGAGGTTCAACTATCGATCGGACCCTCTTTTCCAGTACCCTGGCATAGACCTTACCAGGGAGGCTGAGGAGTGTAATTCCACGGTAGTTGGAACATACCCTCTGGTCACCCTTCTTAAAGATGGGGACCACCACCCCGGTTTGCCACTCCAAAGGCACTGCCCCCGATGTCCACGCAATGTTGCAGAGGCATGTCAACCAAGACAGCCCTACAACATCCAGAGCCTTAAGATACCCAGGGCGGATCTCATCAACCCCCGGGGCTCTGCCACCGCGCAGTTGTTTCACTACATCGGCGACTTCTGCCCCGGAGATTAGATCATCCATCCCCAGGTCTCTTGTCTCTGTTTCCTCTACGGAATACGTGTTGGTGGGATTGAGGAGCTCCTCAAAGTATTCCTTCCACCGTCCTACTATATCCTCAGTTGACGTCAGCAGCTCCCCGCCCCCACTGTAAACAGTGTGAGCAAGTTGCCGCCTTCCCCCCCTGAGGCGCCGGACGGTTTGCCAGAACCTTTTTGGAGCCGATCGATAGTCTTCCTCCATTGTCTCACCGAATTCCTCCCACGTCCGAGTTTTTGCCTCAGCAACTGCCGTGGCTGCACTCCGCTTGGCCTGCCGGTACCAGTCAGCTGATTCCTGAGACCCACAGGCCAACCACAGTCTGTAGGCCTCCTTCTTCAGCCTGACGGCTTCCCCCACCGCCGGTGTCCACCAGCGGGTACGGGGGTTACCGCCACGACTGGCCCCAGCTACCTTGTGGCCGCAGCTTGCAACAGTCGCCTCAACAATAGCAGAGCGGAACAAGGCCCATTTGGACTCAATGTCCCCCACTGCCCTCGGGACGCGGTCGAAACTCTGCTGGAGGTGTGCGTTGAAAATCATCATGACGGGTTCTTCCGCCAGGTTTTCCCGCCAGGTTGAACCGTCACCTTACCGTGGTGGAGGAGTTTGAGAGCCCTAATGACCCTAGGAGCTATGTTGTCGGGGGCATTTTGCCCCTGGTAGGGTCTCCCAAGGCAGATTGGTCCTAGGTGAAGGGCCAGACGAAGAACGGGTCAGAAGATCCTTATGACGAGTACTAACAAGAACCCGAGTACCCGGCCCGGAGGGACACCGGGGCCCTGCCCTGGAGCCAGGCCTGGGGTTGGGGCCCAGCCCGAACCGGCTACATGGGTTCGTCTCACCACCTGCAGGAAGAGTCAGAGGGATCCGGTGCATTGTGGATTGGGCAGCAGACCAAGGCGGGGGCCTTGGCGGTCCGATCCTCGGTTACGGAAACTGTTTTTTTTTTTTGCACCACACAGTTCTGGTACGCATATGATTAGTTTACACAGTCTATTGAAAGCAGAAGTATACCACCAGGAGAGGGAACCAGGTGAATGCTTAGGGCCCCCAAGAGCAACGGGACAACAGGGCAACGGGGCAACAGGGCAACGGGCAACAAGGCCACCTATGGCCCCTCATTTTGGCACATTTTAGAACTGCTGCTGTCCCAAAACCACCCTAAGTGGAGCTCTTGATGATGTGTGCTGTAGCAAACGTGTACTGATTAGTCTACATGTGGGAGTTGTCTGTGATGAGCTTTGATTGGCTTTGCCTGAGTCTAGGAGCCACTGGTTGAAAGTAGGTGTTAAGAGTTCGATTATATGGTTGTCACAATTATTTCTAAGTTTTGTGCAACGTGGACAAAACACAGTTGTAGATGGTGATGTGTGAATTAGTGGGGCAGATAGCGGGCAAAACAACTGTGCATTTTATGACTAAAGCATGAATATTTCAGCAGATCATCTACACACCCTGAGGTTTTATTTCAGACATGGAGGTAGATTGTATCTGACCTCTGGTGATCTTGAGAGGTCATTGACATAAGCACTGCATTTTTCCAGTTTTTGTCCTATTTCTCCATTATATATACTATAATCATGTATATCTTTGCCAAAATTGCATTTTTGTTATAATACAGATTTGTATTTGCTGCTGTGGCCATGCAACATAATAACCAGTTTTGTAGGGGGACTACAGACCCCCCCCCCCTCCCCCCACCACCACCACCACCATTTCTAGGTGTTAATGTAGCTATAGCTTTTTAAAAACAATGATAATTTCTGCTGTGTGTTCTATGGAATTACTTGACTAGCTAGCAGATTAGCAAACACTCCAATCAGAAGCTAATGTGCTAGCATTCACACAGCAGTGGTGCCCCTGCAAAATAGTGTCGGAGGGAAACTTGTTTTAGTGGAACATTTGCATGTTGGGAGGTCTCAAGGTCTTGGGCAACTTTTTTCTAATCAATCAGATGGCGGCCAGAACATAATGAAAGGCTAATTCAAGATATTGATAAGATGGGTAGAATCACAATCCACCATCTTGCTTCCGCTCTGATTTTATTCTGAAAGTCCTGACAGGGTGTTGTGATTCCTTTCTTTTTGACTCTTCTTTCAGATGTCTGTCTGCCGCTGTCTAACATAGTTTACAAACTGTGTCAAAACCAATCTCCCTTTATGCTGAATTCATCTGGAGTATCTGTTGTACTGTTATTTATTTATGTGGTGCAGTATGTAAGTGTTCTAATTTGAAAGTTCAGTCACTGCTGACTATCTAGGCCTGGCTAACCCCGCCTCAGGTTGTCCTGCCTGCACCAGGTCTCTGGTCCGTCAGATGGACTGTAATTCCACCATCTTGGACTGCAGCTGGTGAGAGTGGTTCTAGTTCTGCTCAGGTGGAGAACTGGTTCATGTGGAGCTACACCAAACTCACCGAGACTACAGAGCAGAACCAGAACTACTGTCTCCAGCTGCAGGTAGCAATTAACATGGTCTGGTTAGCAGAGACTGAACTTTTGAAATTAAATATCAAATATAGAATTTTTTTTCTTTCAGGGTTCATCTGAAAGTAGATCATGTGTCAAAATAAGTTTGTCCATTTATTTAAAAAAAAAATCATATTATCAAAATAATCTGACAGGCCAGTTTTGACCCGTGGGCAACCAGCTGCCGACCACTGGGCTACACCCAATCAGTAAAATTTCAGCACCCTCCAGTGGTCACAAACTGTACAGGGTACCTTTAATGTCAGTCAAGTATAGAGGTGCTAAATCCACTTTAAATCTGCTGTTATCAGACAAGTGTTTATTGTAACTTCAGTTGAAGCAGCTGCTCACGGATGTTTATGGCAGACACCTTTATAACTGTCCTCCCTGTCCATCACAGCGGGGAAGACAACAACTGACGAGGAACTGGAAGAGATGCTGGAGGGAGGCAACACAGCTGTCTTCACTGCCGGGGTGAGACTCACAGTGTGTGGAGAAGATAACACAACCAGAGCCTCATCGATGAGGCAGTCAATCAATGAGACTGTCATCCTGTAAAAAACGAGCCCATAGGTCGTCTATGCAGAAACTTATTATGACCCAGTTAGGTATTGATGCTAGGCGACATCTAGTGGTTGTAGTAATGATGACAGGAGCAAAGGGAAAAGTGTGGTGATGTAGTATAAAGAGAAGCAAAGTCCACATCAGGAGGAGGTTGTGGTGGATGGATGAATATGACACAGGAGAGCGGTGTTCGATTCCCATGTTTCTATTATCCATAACCGTTTTTTTGTTATTATTGTAACCATGATAACAGAGATCATCTAAAGTTGAGGAAGTACTTATTTTAACAACATCATGATCTTTTCCTAAACTTAACCAAGCCATGGCCATTATTATAGTAACCATGGAGATGAAGCTAGGTATGCCGCTCTTGGTAGAGTCTGCGTGTTTATTATTGTAACCATGACAACCTGGGTCCAGTACGCCTGCCGCCATAGGGAAGCTATTTCAGGAGACACTCCTCTGGGTCGTATCAGAGGGTTAAAATCACCTGTGTTGTTGTTCAGGTTCTTGGAATCAATTAGTTGATTGATTTTGATAATCAATTAATTGTTGATGTTATTTTCAAGCATCGTCCTGGTTCCTGCCTCTAAAATGTGAGACCTGGCCACATTTCCTTGTCCTCCATGACAGGAAACAAAGATCTGAAAACAAGGGATTGAGAATGAAAGTAATTGTTAGTTGCAGCTCTGAACACGACAACAGATAGTCACACAGGTGGAGTCCATCCTCACCTACCTGCAATAGAGTGAGCAGCTGTCTGGCTCAGTGTCTAGACTGAGCAGCAGGTTGTGTGTCTGAACATCCACTGACTGTCATTAAATGTTTGAGTATGTGAGTCATGATCTGTGCTTATGACAATGAGACAGTTCAATCTACCTGTTTTCATACACTGTCATAATCATAATTTATTCTCTGTTGATCTGCTTTTGAGATTTTATTTATCTTTTTAATATATTGTCATTATGCCCCCACCCCACCCCTGCAAACACACACACACACAGATTACAGAGTCTAAGATCAACCAGCAGGCCCTGAATGAGATTGAGGCTCGTCACAAAGACATCATGAGGCTGGAAAGCAGCATCAAAGAGCTCCATGACATGTTTGTGGACATCGCCATGTTGGTGGAGAACCAGGTATATAGACACACACACACACACACACAGACACACGAGACTTAAATTTTAATTTACAGTGTTGAAACTGTGTGACTTCACTCACACACACACACACACACACACACACACACACACACACACACACACACACACACACACACACACACACACACGAGACTTAAATTTAAATTCACAGTGTTGAAACTGTGTGACTTGACCTAAGATGTGCAGAGAGCTTTCTCTGATGCAACTGCAACTGTTTTACACCTGGATTGCAGCCTCAATGGACAAAACATAACACATAATGGACTGTCCAAACATGAGGTAAAGAGAGAGGGACACTGGATTCCTCCCAAGTTTTTGGAACCATTCTGCTTACTCACATAAAGTGGTGAATGAATTTAATAAATGTCGGAATTGATGCAAAAAGTCCCTTATTAATCAGAATACCGAGTAGACTCCTGGAGTTCGTTTTCAATTTCTAATGAGCATCGGTCAAACATCTTCATGTAGTCTACATTTCGGCTAAACAGTGAATATCTTCTCCAGAACTCAAACCACCAGAATTCTTCATACATGTCTCAGAATGAGCTCGTTCAACCACAATGCTGACTCACTCAGAAAGTTTCCACTGTCACTCACAACACACTGACTGAAAAACACTAACAGGAACAAAAATGAATCAAAATTCCAGGGCTGCAATAATGACAACAAAAAAACTTGAACATGTACAGTATAACTCATACTATACAGTACTGTGATCATGAATCCAGCTTCATCCACAAAGATGAATGCATGTGCAGTTTACCTGCTCCATGACTCTCTAAATGACAGCAAATCAGTGTTACAGTATCTACATGTATAGATGTGTATGTCTCTGGCTATTGAACAGACATCTTACCTGGACATATTGATACCACAGTTCTTTCACATGTTCACTAGTTACAGTGTACAATTGCTTCAAACTGAAATTGCAATCAGCTGTGTTTCAATTATTTCATTTTACTGGAAATATTCTGCTGAGATTTTCGATATGTCAATATAGGTCCTGCCAAAACACATGAGTTTTGTCATCATTCTGTTTTGCATGTGTTAAGTTTTGAAAACAGTGTGTTAGCATTTGCAACATGTCCTGCAAATATATAGTGTTTAGCTGTTTCACTGACTGTCAAGAGTTCTAACAATGTGACTTCAGTTTTGACCAGTGATTGTTCTTTCATCTTGTGTGAGGACACTGATCTTAAAAGAAACAGATCACATCAGTCAGGAGGGAAGTGAAATCAACATTGATCTCAAATTGACCCATAATTTTTTCCTTCCTTTTTTGTCTCAGAGCAAAACAATAAAAGACACAAAGAGGTGTCAGTTAGCAAAGCAAAAACAAGGCCGAAGGAGGTTGGTAAAAATAGAGGATAAATGCATAAAAGTCAAGAATGAAAAGCAGCTAAAAAGCACAGAGTCACTCCAGAGTCACCCCCGGACCTCAGCTGACAGATGAAGGTTGAAATATTTTCATCTCCGAGGAACAAATTGTTGTGCAGCCAGATAGATCAAACAGTAGCATTTAACTACAGTAAAACAGTGATTCACACAACAGTATATCAAATAGATTCTAATCAGTAAATATAAAAGAAATCCAGTGCAACAAATACTATAAATTCATAAATAGACAAAAGGGTCCAACTGGTAAAAAAAATAAATAAATAAAAGTGTACAATATAAAATCACAATGAGTTATTTAAGAAACCAATAGCAGCAGGGACAAAACTTCTTAAACCTATTAGTTCTGTAACAGGTGTTGGTTGGACCCAGTTGCAGCACAAAACACCACAGGTAAGATTGGCAATGACTTTTGTTCGCAGGAATGAGGATGAACAGGTGAGCAGCAGTATAGTTCAGATTAATACACAGGTGAGTAGTCTATGGTGGGACACACACACGCACAATGTTGTCGAAGGAGCAGGAGGATCGGAACCAGGTGAGCAGTCAGTGGGGCAGACGAACCAGGAAGGACCAGACAGGCAGGTAATCAGAGCCAGACGAGAGATCAGGAAACCAGCAGGGAAGTACTCACAAGATGAACAATGCGACATCAGAGCTGGAGAACACCAAACAGCCACAGGAAAACGGGAACCAGGAAGTGCACAGGCAGAACTTGTGGTCGGGGACAGAAGGCTGAGGCATTTACTGGGGCAGAGACAAGACAGGATGGTCAGGGACGGGCAGAGATGATACCAGGAAATCTGTCCAAAGATGAACGCTGGAAATTCTTGCATGAGTACAGAGATCAATCTGGCAATGAGTGAGTGGACCAAGTGTCAAGTTTGTGGTTAAGCTGGACCCAAATGCAGCCAAAAACACAAGGGAGTAGGTGGAAAGAAATAATTTTAATATCAAAAAAGTGACTACTTACAACACACACAAGGAGCATGAACAGGAACCAAAAGCACTAGGTGACACGAGGAAACAGAAGTACAAGGAAGACAAGGACTTAACTGGTAACTCCGGGGACAAACACAGCAAGAACCAGAAGCTCGAGGTAACAAGGACAGGTAACACCAGGGACATGAACAGACAAACGGACCCAGACAAAGGGGAGCACAGAGACTAAATAGACACAAGTGAGGCAAGGGTGATTGAACACAGGTGAAACACATTAGGGCGAGGCAGACAATCACCAAACAGGGAAAAAGGACAAAGACAGGAAGTACAAACATCAAGACACAAGGAAACCACTACAAAATAAAACAGGAAGTGACAAAATCCAAACATAAACTCAAACATAAAATGTCTTCCATGGCAAACCATTACACGAAGGCTGCCTAAATACTGGCTTGATTGGAGATGGAGTGCAGCTAGGAGCAACAGATAGGTACGGTGAGGCTGATGAGGAGGTGGGGTGAGAAACTGAAGCAGCAGGTAAGAAGCAGAACAGGCTGTGACAAATTCTGCATCTTTGCAGTTTGTACCTGTGACTGGATGGAAGCAGTATGAACTCGAACTCGGAGACGTTTATGTCCAGGAAGGACGCGTCAGTGAACTCAAACATTGCAGGACTATCATCCGGAGCCATACTGCTGAGGAGCTACACAATGACCAAATCATCAGCAAACTTCAGGATGTGGCTCCCCACATAGTGGCTTTGACTAGCCGCACCAGAGTTTTTGAACTCTCTAGGTGTGATAAAATCATGTTAAGAAATGTGCATGTCTCATCAACAACCCCCCTACCTGACCTGTAAGCAAATTGGAACGGATCTAGAATTTCATGGACCATGCTCAGAAGGGCATCCTTTACAATCCTCTCAAGTTACTTCATAATTAAAGAGGTAAGTGCCACAGGCCTATAATCGTTAGGTGACTTTGGAACTTTGTTTTTTGGCACGAGTACAATTATGGACTCCTTCTAAAGACAAGGAACCCTCTGGAGCCAGAGTGACGAAGTGAAAATAAAGCAGAAAATATCTGCAAGCTGTTCGGCTCAGTTCTTCAGTAAACAACCTCCGATGCCATCAGGGCGTGGACTTTTCCTACATTCACTGACCAATCAAGTCTCAGGACCATGTTCCTGTCAACATGCACATTGTTGTGCATAAAAGCAACACAAACAGGGGGCGTTGCGTAGCACAGTGGGTTACGCAGGCGCCCCATATATAGAGGCTACAGTCCTCGCTGCAGCTGGTTCGACTCCCGCTTCAAACAGCCCTTTCCTGTGTGTCATTCCCCCTCTCTCTGCCTCCCCATTTCCTGTCTCTCTACTGTCCTGTCCATTAAAGGCACAAAAAGCCCCCCCCCCCAAAAAAAAAAAAAAAAAACCAACACAAATAGACAATTCATCACTAAAATTATGGACATTCAAATGATTATAAAACAAGTTAAATTCATTATGCAGGTCACTTCTTCTGATGCATCCCCATCATCAATATCACCCCCTCCCATGCAGGGCATGAATTACCAAATGCAAACATGTTCCCTACTTTGTCCTTATAATTTTGTTTAGCAAGCTTAAGTTCCCTTTTCAGCTTTTGAAGCTCTCTGAACCGGGGTCATGTCCCCTTTTTTATATGATATTACATTGATTAGCTGTTTTTTTTTACTATATACCTGTGTGGCAGTATCAGTATAGGAAATTCCCTAGACAGATAATATGGTCGTAGGGATATGGATAAAAGTTCAATGTCGGGGGTGCATACTGTTTCACATACGATACCATTTTGCACCACATTTTATTAACATAAAGGCACAAACCTCCACCAAGTGATTTATTGATTACTGTGGCGTCTCTGTCCAGGCAAAAGGGTTCCCCAAACCCTTATTTTCCAAATCAGAATCAGAGTCTTGCTCTTTGAGCGTGTTTGGTCATGAGGGAAGATGGCACCACAGATGGCTGCCTCGGTGTGTTGGTGTGCATTGTTTTGCCTTATCTTGTTTGCTAATTCGGTTTTTTGCTGTGCTACCCAAAGCTCTTTCACCACAGAAGACCTCATAAACATCGAGGAAACAACTCCAGCGGATTTGTTTCCCACTTTCCTCACATCTTCTGTGGAATTTTTGGCCATTCTGGTCAAAGGTGCTCTGACCTTTGCTAACTCAGTGAAGTGCCAGAGGAGAGGGAAACTTACTGGTGCACATGTGCGCCTCCGACAGCGTGGACTTAGCACACCGCTACCAGGTATATTTCTCTCCAATGTGCACCCACTGTCGAACAAACTGGATGAACTTCAGCTAATGGTGGAGAAGAACAGTGACTTTGCTTCATCTTCCATTTTTAAGCTTCATGGAGACGTGGCTGTGTGGATCAATACCAGACTCTGCACTGCAGCTGGCTGGATTCAAACTCTTCAGAGTGGATCGCGACACAGAACTCTCTGGCAAAATGAAAGGTGGCGGAATCTGTTTCTATGCTAACAGCGGCTGGTGTAATGATGTGACAGTGATGCTACAGCACTGTTCTTCTGACCTGGAATCATTCTTCATAAACTGCAAACCTTTCCACTCCCCTGTGAGTTCACTTCATTC